TTTTTGGTCTTTTTGAGACAGGGTCTCCCTGTAGCCCCAGCTGACCTGGAACTCACTATGTAGACCAGGCTGGCCTCGAACTCACAGAGATCCACCTGCCTGTGCCTCCCAAGTGCTGGGATTAAAGGCGTGTGCCACCACACCCTGCTTATTTATTATTTTTATTTTATGTGTATGCACGTATTGCCTGCATGTAGGTAAGTGCACCGCTGTCGTGCAACGCGTCACGGAGGTCAGAAGAAGCTGTCAGCTCCCCTGGAACTGGAGTTACAGTTGTTAGCTGCCATGTGGGTGCTGGGATTCACACTTAGGTCTTCTGCAAGAACAGCCAGTGTTTTTAACTGCTGAACCATCTCTCCAGCGCCTTTTTTTTCAGTCTTTTTGAGACAGGGTCTCCCTGTAGCCCCAGCTGTCCTGGAACTCACTATGTAGAACAGGCTGGCCTTGAACTCACCGAGATCCGCCTGCCTTTGCCTCCCGAGTGCTGGGATTAAAGGCATGCGACACTATGCCCAACCCAGAATTTTAATCTTTTAATCACACCACACCCTGTAAGACTTTTGTTTAAGGAAAGGCCCTGATACATTCCTGAACCTGATGGCCTGGAGTAGTGGAACTTTCTCTCTTCACTGATTCCTTAAACTAGCCAACCCAGGGCTAGAAAGTTGGCTCAGCTGAGAGCACTGACTGTTTTTCCAGAGGACCTGCGTTTGAGTCCCAGCATCCACATGGCAACTAACAACACCCTGTAACTCCCAATTCCAGGGGATCCAGTGCCCTCTTCTGACCTCCTCAGGCACTGTACGACACAGGTACACTTGGGTACACTTATACACAGGATGCAACACACTCATACACATTAAAAAAAATAAAAATAAAACAAAATTTAAATAATACATTAGCCAACCAGGAAAGACTATGAGGTCAGACCCCAGCCAACGGGGAAAAGACACTGTACTCTTCCTTTAGGAATAAAAGCCCTCCAAGCTTCCAGGTCCTGTGTGTAACTTGCTGGATCTGACTGATCACACACTGATCATGCAGGTCACTCTTTTTCAAAAGCAAATCTGCTTTTCTGACTTAGTTTTGCTTTGTGTGTTCTTTGTGCAGAATTGATGGGGTCCTGGGACCTCAGATTTTAGTACTATTTACTGGCTCCTCATTCTTTCCATGAATTTCTGATCTTCCTATCTGCCACCAAATTAGGACTGCCTTGGCAGAGCTCATCATTCAACCACAATTTCCCACTAAGCTCCCACTCCACCCACACTGCTGCTGCCAAAAATAATAATTGAGCCCTAAGTATTAGCACAAGTAGTTCTCCCTTATCAGGCCTTTCTGAATCCATTCCCATCTGCTGCCAATCAAATTTCACTGAACTCTATTCCCCAAACAACCCTAATGATTTTTTAGTAACACAACAGGTGTCTGCTTTCTGAATCTACTATATTCACAAACTTCCTTTCTCTTTTCTTCCTTCCCCAAGTCCTGCTATGTAGATCTGGAACTGGTACTTCCAGCATAGGCCAGGCTGGCCTTAAATATGAGGTCCTCTTGCCTCATCCTCGCAAGTGCTAAAATTAAAGCACTTCACCACTGCACTTGGCTTCCTTCCTTCATTCTTTCTCTCTCCCTCTCTCCTCTCTCCCAGGGACCAATTGAACTCAACTAAACACTTTACCCTTTACCCTAGACAACACTTTACCCACCAGTATTTCTAACTGGTATCTAAGTTACCCACAATTAAATTCCTTATCTTCTTTCTCAAACACACTTTTCATGCATCCTTAGCTTTTTTCAGTAATAGGAACTCAGTCCCCAGTCCGGAAACAAAAAAATCTTGGACCCAGTCACTCTCTCTCTGCTTTCTGTTGCCCTCTATTGTTTGTTCTTGACATAGCAGCTAAACCTTATTTATTTATTTATTTATTTATTTATTTATTTATTTATTTATTTATTATTTGGTCTTTTAGAGACAGGCTCTCCCTGTAGCCCAAGCTGACCTGGAACTTGCTATGTAGACCAGGCTGGCCTTGAACTCACAGAGATCCGCCTGCCTCTGCCTCCCAAGTGCTGGGATTAAAAACCTGTGCCACCACAAGCTATTTTTTTAAATTTTATGATTTCTTTTTATTTAATGTGTATCAGTGTTTTGCCTGCATGTATATAAGTGCATCAGGTGCATGCGTATAAACCCACAGAGGCCAGAAGAAGGTGTCAGATCCCCTGGAGCTAGACTTATAGTTATTAGCCACCATGTGGATGCTGGAACCAAACCCAAGTCCTCTCGAAGAGCAGTGCTCTTAACCACTAAGCCATCTCTCCAGTCCCAAACTAATGCATTTTTTATACACTTATTTTGTATTGGGGGAGAGGCACATATGTAGAGGTCAAAGAACAACTTATAGCCGGGGCATGGTGGCACATGCTTAATCCCAGTACTGCGGAGGCAGAAGCAGGCAGACCTGGATCTCTGTGAAATTGAGGCCAGCCTAGTCAACATAGAAAATTATGTCTGCTGGGCCTACAAGGAGACCCTGTCTCAAAAAAAGAAGCAAAATAGGTAAAACGCACACACAGGCACACACACTCCAGAGTGCAAACATACACACTGATAAATAAGGAAAAATACCTTGTTCAAGAAACAGAAGGTAGTCCAGTTGCTTGGCTGAAGTTTCCTGTCTTCTTCAGTGTGACTCACAATATTTGTATATTTTTATAGCTGACCACTAATAAATTTATTTATTTATTTATTTTGCCTTTTGGTACAGGGTCTCATGTATACCAGGCTGGCCTGGAAGTTGCAGCTAGTTACCCAAGGACAGCCTTGAACTTGTGTGTATGAATTTTCAGATAGAGTCTCTCTGTAGCCCTGCTGGTCTACAACTTGCTATGTAGACCAGGCTAGCCTCAAACTTACAGCGATACATCTGCTTCTGCCTCTGAGTGTGGACCTCGAACTTTAAAAAAAAATTCATTCTTTTTTTATTATTTTATGTTATGAGTATTTTGCCTTCGTGTATGTAATTGCACCTATGCATGCAATTCCAGTGGAGGCCAAAAGAAGGCATCAGGTCCCCTGGAGCTGGAGTTACAGAGGAATGTTATTTGCCATGAGGGTGCTGGAAACTAAATCTGTCCATCTCTCCAGCTTGGAAATTTTTTTTTTTTTTTAACTTTAAACTTCTGAATCTCCTGCCACCATCTTCCAAGTGCTGGGATTTCAGACATTTGTTTTTATGTGGTGCTGAGAATGGAACCCAGGGCTTCATGCATGCTAAGAAATCACTCAAGCAGGGCATGGTGGCACATGCCTTTAATCCCAGTACTCAGCAGGCAGAGGTAGGGGATCTCTGGTGAATTCAAGGCCATCCTGGTCTACTTAGTGACCTCCAGGCCAGCTGGGGCTACAGGGAGACCCTGTCTCAAAAAAAAAGACCAAAAAAACAAAAATATCACACCAACTAACCTATACCCCTGGATACAATAGCTAATTATATTAAAGAAGTAGGTCAAGGTTATGTCATGAAGAGTTTTAATCTTAGTATTAGACAATGTTGTAGATAATGAGAAGCTGATGAAAGCTATGTTTGGAAAAGTTAATCAGAGAGAAATGGATAAGATGCAGAGGCAGGAGGGGGGCAGATACTGAAGGTCCTGGCATCAGAGAAGTTGTTCAGGAAGATTTACAACAATGCAGGCAAAAAGGGCTGATGGGAGCAGGAAAACAAAAAGAAAAAATAAACATGCCAGGCCCACTTGGGAAGATGAGGCAGGAGGACCAGTGTTATCAGCCAGCACAGAGCAGGCTAAAAAAAGAAAAGAAATCAACTAACATA